TGGCATTCATTCGGCTATAGTTCGGTTGGCAAGTGGTTAAAGTTCAGCTTCAGAAAAAAAAAAAAAAAAAAGTGCAGAAGGCAGAAGTTAACGGATTGCATAAGCTAACAGCACATACCAGTTGCTGCAGAATCAGTGCAGTTCAGCACTGCACCCAGCCTCGACAAGGTGAAAGCTGCTATTGCACAAGAATATACACAATATTGCCAATGGGGTAGGAAAAAATCCCCAAGAACACAAAAGAATAAAATCCTGAGACAGTGGGCGGGGGATCATTTCACGGCCCTCGCTGTCACAATTTGAAAAATAAAGCGGCTGTGTGGAGCTCCACCCACATAGCCACTCCATTCAATCAGTTTCCTTTAAGATGAATGCCTACAAGTACCATCAGCTGTTACAGCTGATGGATTGTAGTTCTCAATGAAGATGAGAACACTGCTGAACGCTGTGGTAGTCCATTCATTTTTTCATGCTCTCAGGCAACAGCCTGTACAAGGTACGGCCAGACAGCTATGCTGACAGTCTGCAGGAATTGGAGACTGTATTCACGATCTGCTGATTGTGGGTGCAATGCTCTGCAGACTCCTTGAAAAAAAAAATAAACTTTTCTTAACCTGCAAAACAAAAATGATTTTTTTTTTTTGTCAAGTCTAACTTAGCATTTAAAGTGGTTGTAAACCCTTACATTTAACCAGTGACGCTACTGGGCTCAGGTGATACATCTATCAGCAAGCTTTTCTTCTCTACATCAGTGCAAAGTGCTGTATTTATAAAGGCCACTGAGAGCTCAGAAAAAAGGGGGCGGAGATCTGACATTTCACCCTGCAAAGCTCAGTGAGGAGAGCTCCAAGAGCTGACTGGAGGGAGGAGACACCCCCCCTCCACACAGCTCACAGGAACAGAGCTGGGGCGGTCAATCTGCTGGAGATTTGCACCATCCCTATCCTTGAAACAAGCACACAGAGTAGAAATATGGGCACTACTTTCATTGCCAAGTGCCAAAGCTGTCACCGTCTTGAAAAAGGCAAGCAGTCAATTGAATCTAAACAACTCCTGTGTTATGCTGTCAGACCAAATCACCAAACCAGGGCCAAAATAACTGCCCTAGAGCCTGCAATTTCATAAGTTACTATCAGAACTTTATCTGTAAAAGTGGCACTGTAAAATAAATCTGATAGGAAGGAAAAACGCATGCTACTTTTGCAAATTTTTTTAAAAGGTGCATGCTCTGGGTTGTCATACCCAATCTTATTTTGCTATTTAAGTGCAAATCAGGTATTCCAGTATTCCAGCACCTGATAAGCATATACTTGTAAACATGTGATTTCAAACAAGAGGGAAAAAAAAAAAAAAAAAAAAAAAACAACTTATCAGATAGATGGTCCGGAAGCAAGAGAAATAAAGTTGCGATTGGTAGCCCTGATATCTAGAAAGCCACTTTTTGGATATCAAAGCTACCAATGCAGGTGATCGCTAGCTTTGCAAACAACTACAAAATACCTGTGGCTGCTGATAGCCTGTCATTACAGTGCATGTGCTCAGTGACTACAGCTAGCTGCTTGCAGCTGTCAAACCCAGCAGCAGGAACTAGATTCTCACCATAGCAAAATGCCCATGAAAAAGTACCCTTAAGGCTCGGTTCACACTGCTGCAACTTGTCATGCGACTTGGGGTCTCAAGTCAAATCCCATGTTAGTCAATGAGAGCTGTCTTAATTAGCACTACTGAAGTCGCTCCGACTTTAGAGAAGGTTCCTGTACTACTTCAAGGCGACTTCTATCCAACTTGTGCCCATGGAAGTCACCTCCAAGTCCGATCCTCATCTATAAGGATGCGATTTGGATTTGAAATTACAGGAAGATTACCCAAGCATGTCCAAAAAGTTGCTTCAGAGTTGCTTTAAAGTAGCACTCAAGTCACCTAAGTCACTGCAAAGTCGCACTTTCAGGTCGCAGTAGTGTGAACCGAGACTAAAGCCTGCACTGGGTATGCAATAGCTTTCTTGCAACACAGATTGTTAGCAAATGTGCTCACCATGATTATTACAGTAGTAAAAGGTGTGTACAGTTTACAAACACTTAAAAAGTTAATTGACCTTTTTTACTACTTTCACTAAATTATTCACATCAAAGCACAGCTTTATTGAAATACATACTGCACAATGCCAATCGTGTATGAAAGCCTCAGGGTTTGGTGGCTAGAGTGAAAAGAACCCCAAACACGGGAAATGCTTTCACATGCTGCTATCCCTGCAGTATCAATGACTGGGACACATACAGTACCACAATCACTTTCGATGCAGGTTGTTAGAATAGGGCCCCCATCCACTCTACTAAATGCAAACAGTTTTACTGCAATTACAGGTGAAACTCAAAAAATTTGAATATCGTGCAAAAGTTCAATTATTTCAGTAATGCAACTTAAAAGGTAAAATATATGAGATGGATTGTACATAGAACAATATCGGACCTCTGAAAAGTAGAAGCATGCATATGTACGCAGTACTTGGTTTGGGCCCTTTTGCAGCAATTACTGCCTCAATGAGGCGTGGCATGGAAGCTATCAGCCTGTGGCACTGCTGAGGTGTTATGGAAGACCAGGATGCTTCAATAGCGGCCTTCAGCTCTTCTGCATTGTTCGGTCTCAGGTCTCCTCTTTCTCTTGGCAATGCCCCATAGATTCTCTATGGGGTTCTGGTCAGGCGAGTTTGCTGGCCAATCAAGCACAGTAATCCCACGGTCATTGAACCAGGTTTTGGTGCTTCTGGCAGTGTGGGCAGGTGCCAAGTCCTGCTGGAAAATGAAGTCAGCATCCCCATAAAGCTCGTCTGCGGAAGGAAGCATGAAGTGCTCCAAAATCTCCTGGTAGATGGCTGCGTTGACCCTGGACTTAATGAAGCACAGAGGACCAACACCAGCAGATGACATGGCTCCCCAAATCAACACAGACTGTGGAAACTTCACACTGGACTTCAAACATCTTGCAGTGTGTGCCTCTCCATTCTTCCTCCATACTCTGGGTCCTTGGTTTCCAAATGGGATGCAAAAGTTGCTCTCATCAGAAAAGAGGACTTTGGACCACTGAGCAACAGCCCAGGTAAGACGCTTCTGACGTTGTTTAGGCGCGACTTGACAAGAGGAATACGACATTTGAAGCCCATGTCCAGGATCCGTCTGTGTGTGGTGGCTCTTGATGCACTGACTCCAGCCTCAGTCCACTCCTTGTGAAAGTCCCCAACACTTTTGAATGGCCTTTTCCTGACAATCCTCTCCAGGCTGCGGTCATCCCTGCTGCTTGTGCACCTTTTTCTTCAACACAACTTTCTATTAATGTTCTTTGATACAGCACTTTGGGAACATCCAACTTCTTTTGCAACTACCTTTTGAGGCTTTTCCTCCTTATGGAGGGTGTCATTGATGGTTTTCTGCACAACTGTCAGGTCAGCAGTCTTTCCCGTGATTGTGATTCCTACTGAACCAGACAGAGACCATTTAAAGGCTCAGAAACCCTTTGCAGGTGTTATGGCTTAATTAGCTGATTAGAGTGGGACACTTTGAGCCTAGAATATTTTCACAATATTCAAATTTTCTGAGATTGTGGATTTGGGGTTTTCATGAGCTGTAAGCCATAATCATCACAATTATGACAAATCACGGCTTGAACTATCTTGCTTTGCATGGAATGAGTATCTCATATTAGTTTCACCTTTTAAGTTGTATTACTGAAATAAATGAACTTTTGCATGATATTCTAATTTTTTGAGTTTCACCTGTATATCCCACTTTTCTTCCCTTGTGACCAATAAATAGGGATTAGCAGCTCTCAATCACAGACCAAGGAGCCAGTGCTGGGAATGGGAATAGCTCTCCAACAAACGCATGGGTTATCAGATCCTATATTACTGACAAAGGCAAATGGGGTGGACTGGTGCACTACAGCAATGCTTGGGTGTAATATACTAAGCATGGAGAATAAGGGGTCAGTTCACTAAGATAAATACCGCATTCATTTTGAGATAAAATAACTCATGCGGTATTTCAAAAGTAGTCAAATAAAAAAAATGCGTTCTTTACCGAATGCGTAAAGTATTTATGTTTTGCGAGATTTAGCACTTAAACGTTGTGATATTTTTGGTGGTGTTTCACTTTTTTTGCAGGCTAAAACTGCACCAGATGGCAAACAGCAATGTGAAACTATGAAAAAACAAACAAAAAACATTCTAGTGTGCTTTTCAGTCACAAAATGATCTACCTCAATCTCCCCCAATTTATTTTCATACCTGAGCTCAGAGAAGAATATTTTCACATTGATACATTGTATATTTTTCACTACCTGGCCAGTGCAGAGTTCCTCTAATTGTTATTTTGCCAGCAAACACCAGGTAATAAATAATGAATGTGTGCGTTTTTTTAATGAATTGACTTTGATTTCTCATGTATTTTTGCGCTATTTACCTCAGTGTTAATATTTTACTTTGATGAATTGACTCTTATATGATCTCATTCTGAAAAATGAGTCACGTGACCTTCATAACACATGCGGTAACCTTTAGTGAATTGACCCTTATGTTCCTTATACGCATCTCGAATTGTCAACTGACTGCAGAGTACCTTTACACCTCACAAGGGAATCAGAAGCATAACACACTCAAATAATCTGATAAACCTAAAGATTCAAGACAATTACCACTCAACCACTCAAGTAAAAATTCTAAAATTTGAAAAAAAAAAAAAAAAAAAAAGTGGTTCTTTTCTGTATGCAGGCTAATGAGTAATCTACACTGAACTGTACAGGTAATCTACTCATGTATTGACGTTTAACATGTATACATCTCAAAGTTGGGCAAAGTCACCAATTCCAGACAAAAGCAAGGACTGTGAAACCTTACAGTCAGTCGTCACTACAGCTCATTTAATTTCTTAATATAGTCTATATAGTTTCACCTCAAAATAAATCCCATTAACCAAACTGCAATCTCTATACTCACCTCAGGAACATAGTTATCCCTCCTCTCTCTCTCCTCCTCCTGCAGTTTGATGGAGATGCCTCTGACAGGGCCTCTCTGGATGCGTTTCATGAGATGTGTGTGACATACCTGCAGATATAAAACGCAAAGTGAATATTTCACAGTGCAAGGTTTGGGGGCATTTCACACCGATGGACATTAAATGTGTTCATATAAAAATGCATGTAGACAACACACAACATTAAAAATGCATTTTTAACACACAGCAAAATGAACATGCCTCACCATTCAAAACATTTTTTCCCCTGCATCATCAATGACTAGGCAACTTGGTCACCAGCAATTACTTTTCATATGGACTGACTTGGGGGGTTGCATACAAACTAAAAAAGGATTAATCAACATTCCCATTTTGATCAAAGACCCATTCACACAGTGTGTATTCACGGGCCAAAAGCACACCTGCTTTATTTTTTCTATTGCATGGATTGTGGCCCATTGAGGAGCCAGTGTTTCTTTTGGCCATATATGCACACCCACAAAAGGGTGACTGGTCCACAAGTCTAAGCGTGACATGCTGCATTTCACATTCCTAAGGGCACATTATAGCATTTTAATAAATATTACTTTAAACTCCCCTACCCAGCGATCTTGTTGCGCAGCTTTTTACTGGGGATGATGGCGATCTCTTCACATACGCGCTTGTTGGTGTGGAAGTCATTGCCCAGCCGGGTGTAGTATTTTTCAATGATGACCCGAGCAGCCTTTTTCACGGTCTTTGTCCTGACGCGTCCCTGCATTAAACGCATAAAAAAAAAAAGGTTATAAATACTTTACAGTACTACTAAGAAAACCGGATAAAAAAAAAACAAAAAAAACCCACCACAGAATAACTGACCTATTTTACTACTTTTCTACATCAAGGGCACAGTTTTACTGCAAAATGCCATTATCAGTGTGTGAAAGCCTCAGGGTTTGGTGGCTACAGTGACAGGACCCCAAACACGGGAAATGCTTTCACATGCTACTATCCCTGCAGTATCAATGACTGGGACACATACAGTACCACAATCACTTTCGATGCAGGTCTTCAGAACAACATGACATTAAGAAGATCTTCCACTATACATTTTCTTTTTGTCTTTTCCCCCCTTACCTGGTTTGCTGGATTCTCCTCAAACATACCTCACATGCCCAGCGAACCCAGCATTGTCCTGCTGTGATTTGCCAAACCACTCCTGCGCCGTCATCTTCCTTTATGGCACTGACATTAGGCTATTTTTGGTTCAGGTAAGTGGCTACCTGACTATGTGCAATCAGGGCCACCTTCCTCCGGCTATTGTGTCGAAGCTGATGCCCCCTGAGATATGTGATGTGCATATCCCATGAGGCTTCAGAAGCAAGATGACCTCATTCTCGCCTAAGTGAGAATGGAATGCAAAAAAAATAAAAATAGGCATTTAAGTGTAAAAAGGGTAGATCATTTCAAAGAAGATTTCCTCTACTGGGACAGGATACAAATAGAATTCTCCAGTTAGGGCACATTCAGCAGTATAAAAAAATGAAACAAAAAATGAAAAAAAAAAAAAAAAAAAAAAAAAAAAGACTAGGAATTTACATAAGATTTAACAATTAGCCACCCTATTAAAAACGAAAGCTTTTGCAGCTCAGGTCAGCAATGGGACTCAGCAGGTATGCTGTGTGTTGGCATAGTCTGTAATTATTATTATACAGTATTTATATAGCCCAAAAAGTTTGCTCAGCGCTGTACATTATAGTGGGGGGACAGTACATGAGACAATACAGTACCAATACACGAGGGGTTCGAGGGCTCTACTCCTTGGAGCTTACAATCCCAGCATGAGCACAGGTCTGGGACAACACTACTGCAGCAAGAGGTGTTCTCAGCCCATTACAAGACACCCAACAAGTAGGCTGAAGCTGGCAGGATCAACAGGTATTTACTCAGAGTAACCAACCACCTAGGATAATCAGACTGGCTGTGTACAAGAGGAAGCAAACAGGGCAGTTAAACAATTTGGGTTTACCCCCCTAATACACTATTCTATAGAGCACAAACAGCTAAAGGTGACCATACACTTTACGGAGAGTCGATAAGGTGATGCTCATGGAATGGATTCACTATACACTATTGGATAGCATGCACATCTGACAAAACAATGGGATGTTTGGAACTCAGACATTTATTGTCTGACCAATGAATATTCATGATTTAAATCGATGGTGTCTCTGTTGGTGGCCTTATTGCTCTGCCTACCTTGCTCATGTACTTACCTTTTATGTTCTACATAACTGTACCTTATTGAAACGAATATTACAGATGTGCCTTTTTCTGTTGTATGTTATACCTCATGCTGTTAAGCTGTTTTTGTAGCCTATTTCTTAATACATAAAAATGTTTGTAAACAAAAAAAAAAAAAAAAAGTGACCATACACTACACAATCTCCTTTAGAGAGCTCATGCAAAATCCACCTGACTGAATGCAGACTAGATCTGTCCTAGTACATAGTTGTGTGTAAAGAATGTTGTATTGATAGAGAACAATCGGATTGTATAGAGCATTAAGGGTCACCCTACTCTCTTTGTACACTCAACTTTACAGCTACTGAAACGATGTAATATGAGGGCATACCTAAAACTTCCAATCTGTATCCCACTGGGAAGAGCCTTGCTTTACATACAGGTTGAGCGAGAGAGCTAAAGGATGATTGTACAGATTGCAGCATGTATGGTGAGCTGAAACTGTATATATAAGAGGCTAAACTTTTTTGTTTTAGAGTGGAGAGGGATTTGAACACTTAGTTTGTATTGCTGTCTGTAACCCCGTAAGAGTCACCCTCTCTATTTGTTGTGTTTATAGTTATTACTAAGAGGGAAAGTAAAAGAAAAATCACAAATTTGGCTTGACACCAAAACAGGAAGAGGAGAAAACATGCAATGGGGACACTAGTTCCAGTGACAACCAGGGATTCCCTCACTTTATAGGGATTTTTTCACTTCTTGTTTGGCTATGGGACAGGAAGTGAAATTTCCCCAATAGGACGGAAAGGGAAATCTCCCCAATGGGATGTCAAAAAATCTAACGGGTTACAACCCACCCTTAAGCCATCCAAAATGGAAGTCACCCTCCCTATTCTGTTTACAGTTATCACCAAGAGTGAAAGCAAAAAAGACAGAAATTGTGGGCTGCCTCCATAATAGGAATAGAGTGCAAATCTTCCCATGAGGACGCTAGTTCCAGTGACACCCCAGGAGTCCCTCATTTTGGAGGGATTTCCTCTTGCTTCAGCTAAGAGACAGGAAGTGAAGGGAAAACTCCACGATGGGACACAGATACCAAAAAAACCTGGCAGGGGTTATAATCCTCCATTACTATATCCAACATACAAGGTTTGGCCTTTAGATCCTCCTTAAGGCCAAGTTCACAAGTATGAGGGAGTGTAAGATGCATGCCTTCCCGCACTCAGAACATGCTGCTGTATGGCAACAATAACAGGGGTGCAGTGAGCTTTCAGAGGCCGCCTCGTGCAAAAGCACTAGCTTGGTGCAGCTGCGACTTTGAAAAGTTACATGGACCTTTCGGGTGCTGCGCCCGAGCAAACACTTTCATGTGAACTTGGCCTCAGACCTCTCACACACAATGTCTAAAGGAAATCTGGGGTCTCGGGCTCCACAGGGAGAGGGGCCCTCAGCAGCCAGAGGGAGAGGGGCCCTCAGCAGCCAGAGGGAGAGGGGCCCTCAGCAGCCAGAGGGAGAGGGCCCCTCAGCAGCCAGAGGGAGAGGGGCCCTCAGCAGCCAGAGGGAGAGGGGCCTCAGCAGCCAGAGGGAGAGGGGCCCTCAGCAGCCAGAGGGAGAGGGGCCCTCAGCAGCCAGAGGGGAGATGTGCCTGGAATCACCCCTTCCTCCATTACAGGACCTCATTGCAGTCCCCTCCTCCACCCTGCTCTGTGGTGTACAGTTCACCCCTCTACGTACACCTTCCCCCCCAGTCATAGTCTGCCCCCCATGTACACACATTACCATCCGTCCTCCTCTCAGCCCCACATCCGGGCCCCAGACACGGAAAGGTCTCCTACTGCAGGCCGCAACCCCAGCCTGTACTACGGAGAGTCTGCCAGCGGAGCACCCACCGCCCGGTACATAAGCGGCCCCGCCACAGCACACACACCCAGCCACCATCCCCGGTCACCGTCCAGAAGAAGCCGGCGAGCCTCCATGACGCCTGGCTCCGCTCCGTCCCTCATACTGCACTCAGCACCGCCACACGCCGCTCATATCCCATACAGAGGACAAGCGCCAGGACCCCGGAGCCTGCACGGGGGGGATGGAGCCGGCTCTCGGGGTTAACACAGAGGATGGCAATGGATTACATAGCAGATAGATTACTAAAGATGACCCACCATGTTGGACCGAGCTGGTAGAAGAGGGCAAAGGATGCCGGGAGCGAGGCTATAAACAGGCGGAAGCGGCACACAAGACGCTTCAGTCAGTGGCGGCCACTAGTGGACTGGAGGGAAAGTGCTGCTCCAGCTCTTCCATTCATTGACTATTGCTGTCTTACCTGCACACTCCATGTCTTCATTACATTACATATTTCATGTTCTACCTTGCTCCACTTTCATAAAGGCACATAATGTTTGTACCCTCTGCCTGTTCATTGCAGCAGTGAAATGCAGTAATCAGCTGCAACCAAATAAGATTTGCTTTGCCAAAGTCCCACCTGTGCTACATGAATTCTGATTGGTTGGTAGAAATGATGAAGATGATTATTATTATTATTTTTATAATAATACAGGATTTATGCAGCACCAACATCAGCTCCACATTTCCCCAAAAAATTAATAAACAAAATAAAAAGAGTAAACAGGACTTTAATATTTCTAGCAACTCTCTGCTCAGGTAAAAATTGAGACAAACATCTGTAAAATCACACATTTTTATTACATCATCATATTAAAATTCTTTGGGGGATTTGCCCCCATAAAACATGGTTTAAACCTAAGTGATCAGCTCAGCGACCCCGAACACCTTCCCATAGAATTAGAATGTCTAACACAGATGACAGACATAGACTCCATGAATTACAGCTAAAAAAAGGAAATAGCTAATTCAGTAGCCAGAATGCATGAAGGTAGAAAACCTTCAGGATTTACAAACACTTTAATGCATAGAATGCAGTAAGGTAAAAAAAAAACCTTCTGCCATTTCAATCACTTTAATTATTAGGATGGCATTAATAAGATATAAATCGATCAGCCATTACATTATGACACCTCCCATAACCTGTTGAGGTCTGAATTCCACTAGACCTCTGAAAGCATGCTGTGCTATCTGGCACCAAGCCACCAGTAGCCGATCCTTTAAGTTGTAAGGTGGGTGTCCCTAGATCGGACTTGGTTTTCCAGCACATTCCATAGATGGATTGAGATCTGGAGAATTTGGAGGCCAAGTCAACACCTTAATGCGGAGTTCCACCTGGAAAAAATTAAATAAAAGTCATCAGCTACAAAAAATGTAGCTGCTGACTTTTAAAATACAGCCACTTACCTGTCCCTCAGTCCAGTGGTGTCCTCACAACCGCTGGTTTCCCCAGCTGTCTTCTCTTCCTGGCGCCGGCTTCTTCATTGTGGGCACCCGGCTGTGACAGTTTGTGGCTTCACAGCCGGGTGCCCACTGCGCATGCGCAAGAAGCACTGCGC